GGCAGATTATTTCAATTATAACATGGGAAAATGTATTGTTATAAGTGAAATAATCTGCCAGTGGAACTAGAACCTTTTCACCAATATGAATTATTTATTTAAAAAAAGCTCCTATCTCTTGCTGAAAAGTTACTTGTAAGTTAGTTTTGTCTGATCTCAAGTGTACTAAGATATTTGCCCTGAAATACTACGTAAAATTTTCCATTTTTGCAGCAAATATAGTTTTAAATGTTGTTCTTATTGGTAATTCTTGATGATTTCACCAAATCTTAATGTTTCTCTGGATTTCTTGGATGGACGATCTCTGCCAGACACACAGGCAGTGACTGCATGTCAAAAAATATAACTGGAAGGTCCAGTAGAAACTGGACCAAAAATATTTGGTGAGATTTTGTGGTTGTGTAATGAAATGAAGACGAAGTAAAATGAGATAGTGGAGTCGCTTCCTCTCAGGGTTTACCTGTATTCTCCAAAGTCCTTCATGCTGAGCTGGTTGAGAATCACCTTAGAGAGTCCAGGAACATTGGAGTCGAGAGAATAGAAGCCTGACTGGTCAGAGTAGACGCTGTCTGTCCCAGGAGAGAAGGACTGTGGGAGCGTTGGTGTCTGGGATGCCATGTTGGGCCCACTGGGGATGAAAATGATCAAAACACTGATATAAGTTTTATTTTTAGGGTTACTGTCCTGCTGTCCTTCCTCAGCCTCTAACTGGGTTCTACTGTGAAAGATGTGAGAACGCTCCAGGAAGAAACTCTGCTGAAACAAACTTTATTAAACAAAAGGTCATTTTAATTTGACTGCATCCACACTGTAAAACATCTGAGCCGCATTTAGTTGTGTCTACTGTCTTCTTTTCTTTAAGACAAATAAATTGTGAGTTTGTGAAAGATAAACTTACAGCAGTAAGTTCTGTTAACTTTTTATTAAGAGTTGAATAAACAGAGTTTTTAGGTTAACACTTAAAAAACTGAAAGAAGAAAAAGTCAGGAGTGGGAACTATTTCCCAGAATGCTTAGCGGCGTGTTTCTGTCTCCTGAGATGGAAGTGTGTTACGTTGATCTGTTCACACTAAATGTTTCTGAGCTGAATTCATTCAGATGTTAAATAAAATTCATCATCAGATCAGAAATTTGGTTCATGTGATTTGAAACAAGAATTTAAATTATTCTACAGTAAAATAAGTCATTTTAACTTGATATTGTGAGCAAAATAACAGAGAAATGTGGCTCTTTAACTGGATGAGGACAGTTTGTTTTTGTTGCATAATGTGAAATAATTATTTGGTTTATTTGGTTTCTGGTTTAGACGACAGCTTCACTGCGTGACTTCTACATGTTCTCCAACCCTAAAAGTCGCCTGAAAGGTCGTAAAGTTGGGAGGGAGTTGCAGTCAGCCCTCCAGTCGTCGGCCTCTGATCTAATTATGGAGGCAGTAATAAATTATGAATTGTGAGAGGTCAAAATGGCTTTTTAAAGAGTTTAAAGCTCTGAATGTTTTCATTCAGATTCAGGGGAAAAGCCTCCATATCTACAGATATCTCACGTATGATTCTGTAGTTCCAACTGCATGCTCTGAAAGCTCACATTTCCTATTTTTCCTCTAAAAAGAGAAAATAATGTTTCTCATGTAGTCGTGAATTTTTTCTGAGATCTTTTAGCCTGTTTCATGTCAGAGAGATTCTATTTACTGGCATTTTGAAGGTAAACCACCAGATGACATTTATTCAGGATTTTCAAATAAAATACATTACAATTATGTGGAGTGATAATGTCAAAAGTTGAAAGTTTATGCTCTCTACTCCACCTACTCCTGATGTAAAACATTCTGCACATTAAAATGTCTGTTTTCTGATTGTTTCTTATATTACAAAGTATAAAATTTCAGCCAAGCAGCAAAACATCTATTAATTAACTCAGCCTGCAGAGATTTCCAAGGCACACATATTTAATCTCTGCATGTCTGAAACCTTGTGCTCATATTTTTTAAAAGCAGCCCCACCTTCTGCCATCTCGTCTCAGGTTTCATGATGCCGAGGATAGAAAACCATCACCGTCCAAATGAATCACTTCCAGTTATATTTTTCGACATGCGGTCACTGCGCGTGTGTCCGTGGCAGAGATCGTCCATCCAAGAAATCCAGAGAAGCATTAAGATTTGGTGAAATTAAATTAGAATTACCAATAAAAGCAACAATTAAAACTATATTCACTGCGAAAACACAAAATCTTATCAAGTATTTTCATGGAAGTATCCAAGTACATTTGAAATAAGACAAAACTAACTCAAAGGTTCTGCCAGTGGAAGACATTTAGATTATTGTGAGTACCAGTGTGAAAACTGGTACTAACATCAATATTAAGTAATTACTTAGACCAAAAATATTTGGTAAGATTTTGTGTTTTTCCAGTGCAAGTCCCATGAGTCATAAGAAAAAAATTTAAACCAGTGGATATTTGAGAAGAAACTGACCAGTTATTCCTCTCAGGACACAGATCCCTTCGTTTGACAAGCTGCTTGCTGCATTATCACATTCTCACCCTGACCTGTCAGTTCCAGCCTGTTAACATGAAGGATGGGCGACAGAAAGCAGACAGAGAGCTGCAAGGCGTCAAACCTTCTGCTCACGACGAGCCGAGATCCTTCCAGGTGAGTCCGGCTGACGTTGGTGCAGTCTGCAGAAGAAAGGTAAGTCCTGCTGGTGTGTGTCTGCAGGGGTCTGCAAGACTTTACCCACCAGGAGTGGGAGAAGCTCTGCAGTCATCTGAGGTCAAGGGGGTGTCTGCTATGTTGAAGCGAGGAAGAGGAGGAGGAGGAGGAGGAGTTGCTTTGGATGAAGGTGGGAGACAAAGAAGAGAGAGAGAGAGACAAAGATAGAAAGAAGTACTCAGACCTATCTGGAAAACATTCCTGGAAGTCCAAAGAGAAAACAGATGATGTAGGCTACGTTCAAACTGCAGCCGGAAGTGACCCAATTCCGATTTTTGGTGAAATCGGATTTTTATTTTTTGCCGTGGTCGTTCACAATTCCAAATGCGATTTGCATGTGATCCCCAGTGTGAACTGCAAACGACCTAAAAATGTCCCACATGCGCAGTAGAGGGCACAATAACGTCACACATAGAGAGCGCTCTCAATGTTTTCCCAACCGCTGTGAAAAAGAAGTAGAGCTCAGTGTTTGCAAAAGTAAACATGGATGCTAGCGGTGGAGCATAACTTGTGGTTTAGAAGTTGTTGTCCGATCGGAGCCAGAACATTAACAATCATCCTCATTATTGTCCCCCATGGTTGTTTTTATTCCCGTCTGTGTGAGTCAGGACGCAAAATAGTGACGTTTGTCGAGTATCAATGATGTTCAGGACCAGGCCGGTAGGATTCATGTCACACAGACTGGATATCCAAGTGGCCTGGATCGCATTTGAAAAAAAAAAATCGACTTGTGTCATTTAGACTGTCATAGAAAGATCAGATAAAGGTTGCACTAAGCCAAATAAATAAATAAAAACGGAATTGGGTCACTTCGGGCTGCAGTGTGAACGCAGCACGTGACGTCACAACTCGGCCATGACGGACCAAGACAACCAAAGCTAGTCTAAAATCCGGCAGCAGTCGGATTAGTAGTACTATTTATCTACTAATAGATAAATAGTTTATTTATCTATTAGTAGATAAATAAACTATTTGATATTTATCAACTAAATATCAAATAGTTGATATTTAGTTGATGTCAACTAAATATCAACTATATATTTAGTTGACATTTATATCAACTAAATATCGCTTCTATTTAGTTGATTTCACTTTAAAAATGGCCACATGATGCTATGCAGTTGACTGCATAAACAGACAAGGATGTAAACCAAACTTGTCATTTTATTTGATAACTTTTAATGAAGGTATGGCAGCGATGGACAGTCGTTAATCATGATGACTGTCAGCCTTGATGTCATCGCGGATTTGCAGCGAACACTTTTTACAAGGTAAGAAGATTGGCGTTCATAAACTTTATAAGTACCAAATATTGTTTTATTGGTAACCATGGAGACAATCCCGTCATGTAGCCTAGCATGTTTGAAGAAAACTGGTTAGCATCTCGTCTTTTGTAACACAAACAGGCAGATTGTTTTGTTGGAGCATTTTTGTTCCAGATTTGTGTTGCATAGAAGACGTTCTGACTCAATATTGAATGATAAAAACTTTAATTTTCTAGTAATGAAGTCATTCTTTTGTTGATTTTTGATGTGTTTTAATGTGATGAAAATAAAATAGAATAAAATCTCTCCTTTCTAGCAGATACCTGAAGATTTGGGGTTAAAACTAACTGGTAATTACAAAAGTTCATCCAACTCTTCTTCACTGCAAAAAACACATTTAGCAAGAATTTTGTCTAGTTTCTAGTGCAATGTTTTTTATTAATATAAGTTATATTATTAAACTGTAAATCATTTCTTAATGTTTACACATAACATGGGGAAATGTCTCACTAAGTTAAATAATCTGCCAGTGAAACTAGCATAAATTCAACATTAAGGAATCATTTACTTACAACAAACAAGCTCCCATATTTTGCTGAAAAGTTACTTACAAGTCAGTTTTGTCTTATTTCCAGTGTATTAAGACATTTTCACTAGAAACTGGACAAAGATACTTAGGGAGATTTGTATTTTTTGCAGTGTTGACAGAAAGTGTAGATCCAGATGAAGAAAAGTAGGCCATAGCATGATTATGCCACCACCGTACTTTGGAGCAACAAGTAGATTCTCATTTATTAAAGACACATCCTGTGGTCGTTGAACAGACGTTCAGTTTATATATTTGTAAAACATCACCGCCAACACTCGTTTTTAATTACAAAAATTTTTTATTTGGTCCATCGGAACCTGAGATTGAAAATTAAACGTACAGATGTATACAGCTGTTCATAATTCAACCCACTCCCCCTGAAAAAAAGAAAAAAAAAATCACTAAAATATATATCACATTCGTCAGCATTTGTTTTTTTCATCAGGTTATTTTTCTGTTCAGCTCTATTATCATACTGTAAAGTTTTTACAAGTTTAAAAGGATCAGCTCATTTTTTTTCTCTTATTATTTTCAAATATGTCAAGTTTTGTAATTTTGCAGTCTGTACAATTTACAAGGAGGAAGAAATGAGGAGAGAAAAGGCATTAAGTTGGCTGGACCAACCACTTCTTTTCACCAGCAGGGGGCGCCTCCAAGACAACTCAACAGAAGATGACGGAAAAAGAAAAGAGGACATAAAAGAAGAGTGAATCTGATGACATTAAAAGTTTGAGGTGCCTTGTCTTTGCAGTGTTCGTTCATGTCTTTTCAATCTAAACCAAACTTCATCCCAACTCTCCGTCATTCATGAGCTCAGCTAATCAACAGCATTCATTGGAAAACATGCCTGCAAATCACTTGTGTGAATAAATTAGACAGTAAGCTCACAGCTGCACAACTCAAACAGTCCCAAACCCGACAGACAGAAAGATGAAAGACGAGGAAAAAACTCCGAAACCATAAAGACGACAACAAATTCTTCTTCATCTCAGTAAATATGTTAAGGATTTAAAGTTTGAGCGCCCAATCGTACAACAACTAATCACTAATTATGAACGCATCAGGAAATTTGCTTATCAGCTTTCAAGTGTTTCCTCCATTACACAAAGTAAATGTAAGACAAAAACTTAATTAAAGTCTGCCGTTCTTCTCTTTGACTTTAGTACCGCATTCATCTGTCCCGTTTCTCTGATGAAGCTGCTGTGTTGCCACAGCGACGGGGACGCAATCAGGAGGAGTGATGGCTTTGACTGCAGATGTGAGAATACAGCAGGAATGAAAACAGCTCTGGGTTTTTTTTGTTTGGCGTCTCCAAACGTCGTGTTGCTGACATCCTGTCGGAGAACGGCCCAGAAGATGCCTGAGAAGTTCCTGCAGTTTCGTTAGAGCGCCCCCTAGCGGGAGGTGGAGCTCCTCAGTGCTCTCCAGCTACACTAAAACTTAAAGTGACATTTTGACAAACAATGGATAACAGCTGACCTTCACCTTGAGTGCAACATGATTTTAAAATGAGACGTTACCTCGTAAACAAGAAGTTTATAAGCAAAGATACAAATGGATCTCTTAAAGGGATAGTCCTGGATTTTCCACCTGCAGACATAATTCATGGCTTCTTTATTTAGCATAAACATCTGAGGCTAACAAAGACCAAAGCAGACTTCTATATCACACACCCAAATCCAGAACATCATAGCATTTTATGATGCTATAATGAACCTTTAGTTGCCATCACATCTGCAATGATTTACACAGGAAATGGAAGCTGGAGGCGGTGCGTCACCAACAGTCTTCCTGAGTGAAACAGGGTGGCAATTAGAGATGCAAATCTTTCAGTGCTAACAATTTGGTGTGATTCCAATTTTTGGGTCACAATTTGATTCAGAAACAATTTTTAATTCAGAAACTAATGTTTCTATTCAAGAGGTTCTGTTTAAGTTTTGTGACTGATGAGGAAAAGACAGTGTAAACACATTTACGTAAAACTTTAAAAGGTTTCATACTGCATCAAATTTCATCAGTAATTACCAGCTTTTAGCTTAGCTGCTTGGCTTTTTCTTAAATAAAAAATATCAAATATTCACAATATAATTTTACACAAATTTAAGCAGATTAAAATAGCATTTTGAATCAATTCAGAATTTTCAGGACTAGAAATTACAATTCTCATATCTCTAGAGAATCGCTTTTTTTCTGCACCTCTAGTGGGAATGAAAATAGATTGTTTACAACCAGATGGTGAAGCCACTGGACCTAGTACTTTTTTAATCAATCATAATGCATTACTGACTTAAACCAAGCTGCTTTATCTTGTTGAAAATGTCCATGTAAGTTAGTTTTGTCGTATTGCAAGTGTACTAAGATATTTCCACTAGAAACCAGAAAAAAAAAAGAAAAAAAAAACTTGGTGAGATTTTGTGTTTTTGCAGTGCAAAGATTCAACAATACATTTTGATCTGAGCTTTTATAGATGTTAAAGCTGTTTGATTCATTTGCTTCACTTTTTGTTCTCAGAATGAGTTTCAAACAGGAAGACTATTGGTGACGCACCACCTCCAACATCGATTTCCTGTGCGAATAATTATAGGATTCTGTGCAGTAATGAGGATTTAAAGGTGTAAAAAAACAACGTTTTGATGCGTTTTTGAAAACCCGGGGAGGTTTATAATGGCAGATGTCCATTTTGGTTTTTAGCCATCAGATTTACCATGCAGATCCAGGAAAACACCAAGAGATATCTAAAAAACCCACTTTAAAAACTCTGAACTATTCCTTTCAGGAGGAAAATCTATCAGAAAGGATGTGTGTGCTGTCTAATCCAAGAAGAGATTTCCTTCCTTATTCAGCATTTTTAAAAGACGGAAGGTCCCAGAATCACAGCAAAGAAAAAAGACGGACACTAAATCCAGCTTTCTGACAGCCTGCTACTAAACATTTACATGATGACAGAAACAAAGTTTGGTCCTGAGCTACTCTGAGTGGGGACAGACTGCACTGGGTGAGTAATGGCTTCATCTGCAACCTTAATGGAAAAGGCGGTGAAGGTCAGGCTACAAAAGAAGTAAGACTAAATATAAAAGAAACATTAATTATGCTGTAAACTCAGCGGGTTTGGCTCATAATGTACCACACTGAGGACTGGTGAGCATCCTGTTGAGGACGACGTGTGGGCGGGGCCATGGCTCAGTAGTTTAGCTTGAAGCTAGCTTCCCATGGTGTCTTGGTCTAGATCCTGGCGACCCCCATCTCCCCTCTTCTCATCCCAACATGGCACTTCCACATGGCTAAAAAAAAAAAATCTGGAGATCCAGTAAACGCTCTGTAGACTTCACATTCATATGCACTTCCAAAACCAGAAAACTCGCCTTCCTCTGCAACTCATGGCTCCCCACAGCTTGATTTTTTTCAGTGGTCCGACAGGTCGTTGGGTTAAAGTCTATGGGTGGGGGGTGGAGAGGGCAGGGGTCATAGAGGCCTGGGCCTGTGCAGCCCGTCAATGTCAGGGGTGAGGTGGGGGCTGTGGGTGGCCTTGGTGGGAGTCCAGTCGCCCAGGGAGGCCTGCGCCGCCTTCCGGTGGGCGAGGCGATGGGTGATGGAGAACCCTGCGTTTCCCTCCAACTGGGAGAGTACCACCAGCACCTGCCTGCAGGGGGAGACAGAGAGCAGCGCTTTCAATCTGAGCTTCATACAGGTTTATAGATGAAATATAATGGAGTTCTTTAGTTTGATTTAACTTCAGACAGTGAGAAAAATCATGTAGGGTTATGAAAATATCTGGTTTCATCTGTAAAGGTTTTCCAAATTTAGGCATTTAATCAAATGATAGATTTAGACTTCATGACAAAAATGTGGAGTTTGAACATCAAGCACTGTCAAGAAAATCAAACAGAAATCAAAGATTTTCCAAACCTTGAAAACACCAAATTAAAATTATTTCAAGACAAAACAACTGGAAATAAAATGACCCAGTCCTTACAAAAGTGAACAGTTTTTAAATATATCCACAATGTTTAATTTGCATTAATGTGGACTGGAGCGTGTCTGTACGGCTGGATGAGACATTAAATGCTGGAGAACCTAATAATGTGAAACCTGAACGCATTAACAGCTGAATCCAGCCAGAGGAAGATTATGAAGAGCAGAGCTGTAACCCCACGGGGCCAACATGTTTATACAAGCACTGCTGCAACATTTGTTCTACTTACTCCTTACATAATGGGTATAAACACCATACATATTCCTGTTAAACTGCCAGTTTAACATGAAGTCAGTGAATCTGAAGTCAGTTCAGATTCAAAAAGCTTTTATTTGTCCCAGGGGTAAAATAAATCAAGTCAAAGTCAAAGTTTATTTCTATAGCACAATTACAACAGCTTCAACTGACCAAAGTGTCTCACAACAAACACAACATTACAGGTGGATCAATGATAAAATAGAAAATAAAATTAAGTTTTGTAAAAATAATAAGACAAATATAAAATATAAAACAAATATAAAAACCAAACAATATTGAATTTTAGCTGTCGTAACTCATATCGTCCAAGTATCTTCAACATCCTTCAGCTTAAGCTACAGCTTACAAAGGAGTTACAAATGTAGTTGGTGACTCTCTGAAATTTAAGTAATTATTTCTTCATATTGAATGATTTATCTGCATATTTATAATGTTATTTACTCTATAACTTATAGAGGAAATGAATATGTAGCAACGTTTGTGTAATAAAAATTGAAGTTTGATTAATAATTGTAAACTTTTCCAACTTTATTGTGAAATGTATGCTGTGTAATTAAAATGACCGACATGACGGCATAATAACATAACGTGAAACATGTTACAAGTGAAATAATCTGCTTTTATCAATTTTAAGGTATTGCCTTTAAACCAGTGTTTCTAAACCCTGGTCCTCGGGCCCCCCTGCTCTGCATGTTTTAGATGTGCCTCTATTCCAGAACAGCTGATTCAAATGATTGCATGACCATCAAGTACTGCAGAAGCCTGTTAATCACCCAGAGATACAATTCAGGTGTGTGGCAGAAGGGAAACACCTAAAACATGCAGGACAGGGACGAGATGAGGACCAGGGTCGAGAAACACTGCTTTAAACAAACTCATATCTTACTGAACGGTTACTTGTAAGCAGAGTTGGGCAGAAGACGCAAAAATTATACTCCAGCAAGAGTCGCACTAATTAGTCTACTCAAGTACTGAGTAACTTATCAAATTGTCAATTATTTCATATTTAAAAATTACATAGTCAGATGGACCTAAATGTAAAGTTAAGTGGAAATTTTGGTATTTTATGGATCAAAATGTCAAAAAGAAAATTATTCCAAATCAACAAACATAATTTTTGCATTTGTCTTTGATATGGCGTAACCAAGACTACAAACATGAACCTACTTTTACTCAAACACAAAGTAATCAGTCCCAAAAAAAAATCAGAAACTGTGAGCCAGTCTTATGACAACACAAAAGTGAACAGGCAAAACCTTTATGTTTTGATTCTACAGCAATTTAAAATTCTACTTTAGTTTATTATTAATAAAATAAAACAAAAATCACAAAAAGTAAATTTTCAATTACTTTTTATTAGAACCTCAGGTGCTTTCAACTGAACAATTTTGTCATGGCAAAAAATTTGGACACCACTGGGTATAAAAGTAGTTACTAAAGCTCATTATATGGGCAAAAATAAAAACTTGTGTGTGTAACAGATTAATGTTTTCCTGGAAGGATGGCATGAAAACCATTTGATTCTCAGGCCTTAGACCCTTTGGAGAGGCATGTACCCATTTGTCCTATGTTTGCCTTTAGTCCTCATATTTCATAAAAATGTGTATGTGTGTGTGTGTGTGTACCTGTGTAAAGGTGGAACGCTGTCGATGGTCTTGAGGCTGCCACGCGTGGAAACCACATTGAAGCTGTCGGTGCAGTCACAGGAAACGTGGAGGTAGTACTTGGGGTGGCGGTTCTCCACCACCACGATAAGCCCCGCCCATCCATGGGTCAGGTAGTAGCAGGTCATGCCCTCACGACCCTGAGGATGCATTGCACGCTAGGTTAGGTGGAGGCTGAACAAAGAATTTGTCACTGATGCAAGATAGGTTTCAAAGAGGATTTTTAAGCAAACATCAAATTCTTCATATTAATGCGTTTAAAAAAAGACCTTGGAGTTATACTTTTTAAGTGAATTATACATCTTAAAAAACTGATTACATAGTGTTCAACTATGCAGCTGTCATCTCTAATCAGATTACTCATTAACAACATTTCTCTTCCAAGAAATCATCTCTGTAACAAAAGAACTTTGTTCTTCACAAAAAGCATCCTGAATTATTTACAGCAGGCTAAGAACTCATATCTTTATACGATGTTAAAAAGCTGCTGCTCGGGTAGTAGCTACAGAGTGCTGCTGGGAAATGAACCCAGGGTTATTTTTTTAAAGAAAAACAGTTCAGAAGAGTTGAGAAGCTTAAAACATCTTAAAAAAACAAAACAAAACACGCCACTCGAAACAGATTTGTTCACGAGAGAAAGAAGTTTCTGTGTTAGAGTGGCCTTTAAAATGACAAAAAATAACCTGATACATAAGAAGGAGGGAAGGAAACAAAGTGAGGAACTTTTTTTTTTACAAATTTATCCAGTCTTCTATGGATTAACATTCCAAAATAACTGTATGCATGAATCAGGAGAACTTGTCTTCATGTTGAAACTGATCCAACAAGTTTAGCGACACTCTTGAGAGAGAAATGTGCCTAACAGGAATTCAGTCAAGCTAGCAAAACACGTAGGAGCAGAAACTGATAACACCTTGCAAACACAATGTTTACATTTTTACATCTACATCAACTCATTTAAAGTAAAGAGCCAGCATGTTTTAAAAACCCATGGTTTGAATTTACTGAAGCAACAAACCAGAGGAGACATACTGCTGACTTATGTTCAGTGAAGGTCAAATTAAAACCAAAACGGAGAAGGATGAAGGTCAAAGCTTCTCCAACCAGATAAAGGCAGAAATGTTCTCTTTATTTGGGTCGGTGAGGTGAGTCTCACCTCGTGTCGTTCTCCTTTGTTCTCTGTGAGCAGGATGATGGCGTCGGCCAGCGTGGTGGGCGTGGCCTCCACCTGCTCCACCATCACCTGGCGGGAGCTGTAGATGGCCAGGATGTAGCCGGGGAAGTCGTGGCTGGGCCGGCGGGCCGCCCCACTGGTGGGACTGGAGACTGTGGACACGGACAGAACAACGCGCCGCGGTTACGGCTTCATCAGGACGGACAGACAACAGAAACCAAACCAGAGAGAGAGAGCTGCTCTCTAGGTTCATTAGGAAATATTGGAGTACAATATGAGGTCAGGAGGAAGGAAGGAAAAAGGAAAGGAAGGAAGGAAGGAAAGCAGGGTTGCAATGCTGCGATTTCTTAAGTGTAATAAGATATCTACACTTGAAACTGGATAAAAATTAAGATTTTGTGTTTTTGCAGTGATCATGATTCTGTTTCGTTTATTTAGTTTGGATATTTAAAATGTCTTCCAGTGTTAAATGTTCATCAGTATTTAAAGTTTATTGAAAGAACGTGTTCTTGGTTGAACAATATTGTCATTTATCACGATAACTTCCAGGACAATTTATCAGAATTTAATATCGTGGCAGGAAGTCTTACTGGGCGTGGGCGGAGCTCCCGTCCCGCTCACGTTCATCTGCCAATGGTTGAAGGCGCAGCAGACGACGGCGTACTCCCCCGGCTCCAGCATCACGTCGCAGCCCACGAACTTCTTGACGGCCCGCTTGCTGTGGGCCAACAGGCGGCCCAGGGTGAGCTTGTTGCCGCTGCCGAACGAAGCGCGGAACACCATGATGCAGAGGTCCAGCAGGTGGCTGTCGGCCGTGTCCGAGCGCCTGGAGACGAAGCAGCAGAGGGCGGAGTCAGACGGAGCTCAGGTGAGGTGGACGGGTTGATGATGGGGGTGAGGTTACCTGCTTCCCTCCTGGAAGAGAGCGAACTCCAGGGCGGTGCGCTCCAACACGGTGAGGGCGGTGACGGTGACCGGGCCGCTGGCTTTGCTGGGGAAGCAGCCCTGGAGACGCACTTCCTGCCAGTCGGAGTGGATCTTACAGATGTCGACTGAGTCAAAGTATCTGGAGAAGACGAGAAAAACAAAATCGTGTTTGGAAAATTAGTAATTGACCAATTTTTCATCTTTAATTAATTAATCGTCAGAATAATCAGAATCGAACTGAAATAATCGTGAGTTGCCTTTCTAACATTCTTGTGTTTTTCCAATCTCCTTTTAAATCTTGATCTGCAGACAAACACATTTCTGGGTTTCTCTTTCCATTTCAGTTTTATCGCCTCCTTTGGGTTTCAGGATCCCAGCGCTGATCAACATCAACTGTATCTGTCCACCTGATGCTCATCAGTGGAGCCAAATTGCTCATCAAGATGACAAGCTCTTACAGTTTCTGAGACAAAACGGGGGCGACGCCATTCTCGTCTGGACCGAAACGTTTCGAAACAGCCGCGGTGAACTCAACGTGTGAAAAAGAAACAGACTCATGATTGTTTTTTCTTTCTCCCTTCAACCAGGGGTGTCCAAACTTTGTCATGTGGGCCAAAATTTTAGACTCTAAAGTCGCCGTGGACCAAAAAATAACCTAAAATCCAGCAAATAAAGTCATCTGGTATTTATTGTAGACTAAAAACTTAAAGGGGATTTTTACAAAAATGTAGATATAAAAAAGGAGTAAATTTCTGCCAAAAACTCAGAAATTTTGTAGAAAACTTTTTAAAATTTTCAAAATAAATTTTTGAAAAGTTTAATTTTTCGACAAATTTGTGTCATTTTTTTAATTTCAGTTGGGGGCCGCACAAAATCAGCCCAAGGGCCACAGGTGGCCCCCAGACCGCACTTTGGACCCCTTTGCCTTAAACTACTCAGCTGGAGTGAGTTAGGGAGAAAGGAAGGAAGGAAGGACACAAATAATAAATATAGGAGACAAGGAAGGGAGGAAAGGAAGGAAGGAAGGAAGGAAGGAAGGAAGGAAGTCCCAATAAAATGTAACAAATTTTAAGGTGGAAAAGTGAAAACATGAGAGTCTGAAGGGGAATAAATGCTTTTTACATCTGGTGCTTTATGACAAAGAGGAACAAGATGGTCAACTTTATGGGAAGAAGAGATTCAGACTCACATGATCAACCAGACAAAAAAAAAAAAAAACGCAATCTAATACTTAATGTTTCATCCGACTAAAAGACCGGATTAACTTCAATATGGAAAAGATTTCACAATCACTGAGAGGCATGACAAATCTAAGCCTCTGGCTGCAACCAAGGCAACCATCGAAATCATACAATAACATCCCAGTGTGTGTGTGTGTGTGTGTGTGTAATGACTTTCAATGAACACAATGTTCTAAAAATCCACCAAAACAATGTTGCTTGGTGTGAAAACCAGCTGGGAAATTAATTCTGCAGAGATTTTTAAATGTCTGCCATCACGTCATCATAAAGCAACGCAGATGTTTTTCTAATAAGAATCTGTTTGACATCAGCTGTTACGGGGCGTCAGCGCTAAGGGACGGCTGCTGCTGCTGGGAATTACTGCCTTTATGACCGCACAGTGTTTGTGTAAACACAAGAAGAAGAAGTGGGTTAGGGATGCATTAGCAGTCTCGCGCGCACACACACACACACACACACACACACACACACACACACTGACTCAGCTTTTATGGAGAGAGAAAACACAGTTCGTCAGAGTGACTGTAAATACCACAGAAATGATGGTTCGCTGCACAAACCTGAATCCTGATTCAGAATCGGTTCAACAGGATGCAGTGACTCCTGGGAGCCACTAGGGGGCAGCGGTCAGAGTTTCTGAACAGGTTAACTCATAGGAGACAATGAGGATATTCTGTGACAGATAGATTTATCTTTGCATCTGTCCTAAGGAAAGGTATCTGCAGATACCTACGCTTGTCTATTGTCTATTGCATAGACAATAGACAAGCGTAGTTGTCTATTGTCTATACAAGTTGTCTATTTTTGCACTAAGTCATGTGACAGCTGAGTCTTAAATGAGTTTTGTTTGGCAGAAATGGCTCATTAAGACACCGGGAACATTAAGTCAAGGTTAAAGTTGACACTGCTCTTCAAACCGTTCCAGACAGATGAGCGTTTAAAGCCAGCTGTAAACATGTCAAGGTCAGGTTTTCCATTTGTGTCATAATACAGTTGTAAAACAAAACCAGTAAAAATAAAATCTATGTTCCCAAGAACAAGCTTCCTTAAGCCTCTTGTGACATCACAAGAGGTCAATTTGAATAAATCTGTGATTTTATTTCGATGTTTATTACCTGCACTCAAAGTTTTTATGCTGTTCCCACGGTAAAATTCAGGCATTTTCAAACATTTAAAGGTCAGTTTTCAAACTTTTCCAGATAAAAACAATACAAATGAACTCAAGAAGACAGTTTCTATTCACTATTATATGATATAATTTATTACCGTTAATAATAATGTGTTATGATAGTATTTGGCCAACAAAATTGTATGTCATAAAATAATATTGTTAATTCTAATTAACCTAAAACAGGGAAAAAATTGTCTGATTTAACTTCAGTCTGAGAAAAAAATGGGTAATTTTTAAATTTGGTTTATGAAAATATCTTTTCAACAATAGATAATTTCCAAATTTAGGCTTCTAAATTTGGAAATTACTTCCAAATGTCTAAATTTGGAAGTAATTTCCAAACGTTATATTTCATTTTATTACAAAACTGTGCAGTTTTAATATCAAGCACTTTCAAGGACTTTATACAAAAATTAAGCACTTTCAAAACTTTGAAGATACCTAATTGAAAACTGAAGCATTTTTAAAGACTTCCATGCTTTTTTTGTGCCACTTTTGATGTCATCAACCAAAACACAGAAAGCAGAGTGAAGCTTTAAACACATTAACTACATAAAACTTTAGTGGAAGCTTATACTTCACCATCCAGTTAGTGTAAGTTTAATCCTGGAAAACAACAGTAACAAAATTACAGCAGGGTGTCTTTATGTAGAATCATTCTTACTTTATGAAGTCGGTGTACTCCATCCAGAAGACGCCCTCGCTGCTGCCGTGAGCCATCAGCTCGTGCCGGAGGTGCTGCGGCCAGTCCGGCCACTCGTCCGACCAGCTGCCGTTCCAGGAGAAGCGACCCCAGGGGTTACGCAGCCGCAGCAACCTGCAAAACAACTTCATCAGCTTCTTTTCACACCTGATAGACTCGGTTCCATTATGGACTGTAACTGACAGTTGTTACATTTTCATCTGCTGAGGTTTGCTTTCGAAATGAGACAAACCAACTAAACCAATTGGAAAACCTGTTCCCCTCCTCGCCTGTGGGGGCGCTAAAAACCACTGAAGGAAACAACATGAAATCCAACAACTTCCTTCTTCACCAAACGAAGACAAATGGATTTTAGCAGTCATAGGATTTCTCTTTTGTGTTTGGTAAAAATCCAGGAGCCATTTCTCCCGCTAGCGTTAGACTTGCATGTTTGTTTTGGTTGCATTTACCCAGAATGCATTGTGCTTTAGATCAGAGCACTGTCCAGTTCACTTTGTGTTCACATACGAATTTGAACTGCACCACAGTTCATTTCAACCGAACCAATACCTCGGTTTGTGGGTTTTTTGGTCCACATCAGTGTTCAATTATTCACACCTCCCAAAACGAACTGCACTTTCTAGGCAATCAGACCAGCTTTGGATTAAAGCAGACTAAACAAAATTGGTGTGAATGCACCTTTAGTTCCACCGCCTCACTAAGAAACATCATAAAAACCCAAAGTGGAGAATCAGCAAATGGAGATTCAATCAATTCTGAAACGTCTTTGTAATTTCCTCAATGACCTGAAACCAAAACGATTTGCCGTTCAGCCTTTTATTTTCAGAGTAAATTGAAGTGACCACAGGTGGCACTTGAGCAGATTAAATGTGATAATTTTTGGCACTTTAAGCTTCTTTCGAGACAGAAGAGGCTTTCATTTTGTGATGAACTATCCACCAATGATCGCCATGATTAATGTGAAGTGATGTGCATCTGTTTTCAAGGCTGATCAAGTCTTTAGCTCATTTGTCCACGAGTAACAGAAGAAGGATTTTCAAAGAGAAAGCAACACATTTCACACCATTCAGTGAATAAGTGGTGGAAAAACAACAGAAGGAGAACAAAGGATGAAGACGCGGCGCGCAGTCAGAGGGGTTTTACCTGTAACCCTGAACGTCTCGAACATCCAGAATGGAGTAGGCGTGTCTGGGCCTCAGACCCAAGGACTCATAAACGGCGTCGTCCACCTTCATGTTCCCACCTCCACACGAAGCTCCCATTAGAAACCTAACAAATAAAAACACATGCAGTCACATCCTTTGATCCAATCTTAGCTGAATGCTAATTATTACAGGCTTAAACCGGAAAACAACAACAAAATATTGATTTTATACAACCATGATTTATCGCCCCAGTGTGTTTCTATTAGAGCATCCAAACTGTTAAACTAAAAAGTTTTATCTTGTTTTGAAAAATGCAAAACCAATTCTACTGTAAAAACATATTTTAATAAAACCTACTAACCTGATTTGTACACAGAAAGAATCTCTACATTGTATTCAAGGCTAATAGAATATGATACAGGCCTTATTTTTTTAATAAATAAATGGGTCCACCATTCTACTTTGAAGTAAGAGTTACTGATTGTGGTTTATGTGCTACCAAATTAAAAGGAAAGCAAAAAAAATAGTGGTTAATAAAAGATGAATTTTGCCTGCATCATTTTTTGTTCAGTGAAATTTTTTCTTGAATTTGTTTTAATTGCATCACCTTTTACAAGCTGGTGAAATAAATCTTAGCTATTCTTGAACTTTGGACTGGGGACGCACAAAATCATTCCAAGAGCCGCAAACGGCCCCCAGGCCAGAGTTTGGGCAGCCCTGTGTAAATCTATAAACTTAATTTTTCCCCTGGAGTCTGGTCCAGTTCGATAATTCTGCAGGGATCGGCTGGTTTATTCACTAATACCAGTCTGTTCATCTGGCGTTCCTCAGGGCTCGGTTGTCAGGATCACTCTTTTTGTGAAAATTATGCAAACTCACTAGTCAACACTGAACAAATCTTTATTGTTAATGCAGATTACTTTCAGCTATAGCTATTAAAATGGGGGATATTATGTAAAATATTTTTTTTTCTCCAACTATAGGCTTCCCAGTTCTTAAGAGTTAAAATAAAACAGGAGGCAGATCTTTCAGTTATCAGGTGAACAAGTTCCCAGCAGACAGACTAGGTTGTAGTTAGAGTTGCTCCTACTCCTCTCTATCTGTACATTTATCTATTATTTGCTGGTATTGTTGACAGCAGCGAGTTGTTTTCTCGCCTGCTGTGATGTTTCTGCGCCTGGACGTGTCACCTTCCTGGAAGGAGCCATCAGATGAGTTATTGCTGCCAGTAACTCCATGTTCTCTCTGTTCTTCAGCCACAGAGGACCCAGATGCCCCAATAATTATGTATTTAACCTTGTCTCTTTCATGGACAGAGCCCTTGATAGAGTTACTGATGCAGCTAACTGTGTACTGTCTCCGTTTTCCATCCCAGCGATTCTCTATTCAACTATTTTTCCTTCCTAGGTGGAATAAAATGCTGCTGCCAATAATTCAGTGGACTCAGATTGACCTTTTCATGGAACGTCCAACTGGACGAGTGGCTTTTGTTTGAATTTATTGAACAAGAAAGTTACAAAAAAATCTCTGAATTATTAGCCTGATTGTAAATAATTTAATTAGATGGAATAAAATATTCTTGCCTGCCTTCTGAAGGAAACATGCGCAGTAGAACGGCGGATGACGCAACGTGACTTTGACTAATAATCCCTCTACTGACCCTTTGCAGCTACGTCACTAAATCATTGGAGGCGCCATGATGGACGCCGGAAGTGAGGGACGACAGTACTGAACAGAGCGACTGAAACTGTTTTCCCAAGTTATTTTTGCCAGTTTATTCATGGCTTCTACTTGTTCGAGTTCAGATAATTTGTCTCTGAACGTAACTCACCTAGTCGGGGCTCATAGACGACGGGATTTACAAAAGCTGGAAACAGCTAGCTTAGAAACCGACCCGTACCTCCTCCCTCCTGACGCGTTTATCAAATTTACGACTTTACCTGAATTCACACCACATGATTTATATCACTACGTCATAAGCAGCGTTTCCCTTTACACCGGAGAAAACTTAAAGACGTCCAAAAGACGAGATGCTAACCACTTTTTCCCCATACATGCTAGGCTACATGAAGGTGCGGCACTGTCTCCATGGTTACCAATAGTTAGCCGCACCTTCTCCACAATGCAATGATATCTTTCTAATCAAACTTATAAAGTACATGAGCGTTAATCTTCTTACCTTGTAAAAAAGTGTTTGCTGCAAATACGCGATTTAACAGTCATTATTATTATTATTATTATTATTATTTTAAATATTTTTATGAGGAGGAAAGGAGACATTACAAGTAAAATTTTAACTGTTAAAGACATAGTATGCCAACAGTCATTATTATTAACAGCTGCTATAAAATTTTCCTCGTTAATAGTTATGAAATAAAATGAAAAGTTTGGTTTACATCCTAGTCTGTCACAGCATCCTATGACCATTTTAAAGAGAAATCAACTAAATAGAAGCGATATTATGTTACAGATCTCTGGTTTTAGACTTTAAAGGAGCTCATTGGTTGTTTTGACTCCATCATGGCGGAGTGGGCGGAGTTCTGGAGAACGTGACGTCATGTGTTAAGGGTCGATACTTTGAAGTAATGTCTTCTGTCGCCCAATTGAAAAGCATTTCTGAGGTTTTCCAGCACCTGCAGGAACCCTGGATCTTAATTAGCGTCATGAACTACTTCCTGTGCGGTCAGTAGCCCCGCCCAGCTCTCACCCAGCCTCCTTGGAGCTCAGCATCTTGGCCCAGATCAGGTCGGTGTCGATGGGTTCCTCTCGGGGATTAGTGGAGCTGACCTGCAGCATGAGGGAGTCGCAGGGCGCCCCGGTCAGAGTGGCCAGGCCCTCGATGGCGCGCCCCGCCTGCAGGGCGAAGTAGGACCCGTGGAGTTTGGCCAGGGCCTTCTCGATCAGAGCCACCCAGAGCTGCTTCCTCTGAGCCTGGAGGGAAATCAGGAGGAAACAGAGTGAATGTTATCTCTGTTTTCGTGGAATTTTTTAATTCCAGTCAGGCAATCTGTCAATGAATGACATGTACAAAGGTTTATCAAAACGATACGCAGATAAAAGGTACCACTCCCTACATACTCTGTCGCCATGGCGAAGGAATTTCCTTGTTGTGCCTGATTGTGCAAACACAGTTTCTACAAGATAACATCTCGATAAGGAATGTTGTTCACCTGCTGTGGAGATGAACAGTTTCCTCCAGCAGGTATGTTGTATGTTATTAACTACTTCCATACTCCATAACTTTTTATTTGCAGAGTCATTGCTGATTAATTAGCCGTTGCTGCTGAGGGGTCCTTGGAGCTTCGCTTGTGATAAAAGTGAAATAATGAGCTGGTTTGATCTCAGCACCACAGATAAATACTCTGGTTTCTGCAGGGCTCCCCCAGGTGATGCAGGGGCTTTTGCAAAGAATTTCTTAAACATTTTTTATGATGCAATCATTAAAAACAAACTTTGATTTAGCTGGAAGGTATGCTAACTGTTTAAGGAATCCAGCGGACTTCTAACTTAGTATGCTGATATTCAAAGAATAATTTTATATAAAATGGATCTGAGTCACTAGAAACATTAATGCTCCACTTCTTAGGAGGCTTTATCTTTATAAAATAATTTTTAAAAATTAAATGCTCTAAATATTTATATAGTATATCCAGTATATATATAGTTTTTTTCTTAAGCTCAGTCTGATTGGATGGAGATCATATTTAAACCACATTCTTTTATTTTATTTCTGTCACAGATTTGTAACTGGTTTTAGATCGGGACTTTAAGTAGGTCATTTTAACACATCTTACTTGATGCAGCTTTTAACAGGTTACATTTTTCAATCAACTCGGATGAGATTTAATGTCCCTGCTGAAAAAACGCATCAAAACAGCATCATGCTGCCACTACCATGTTTCACAATTTACTTTTGAACTAAAATGTAGAAAAAAGTTTTAAAAATATACACATTATAAACAATTATGAAGTACTTTATGATAATCTATTGCATAAATGTTTTTAGTGGTAAAATGTGAAGAAAAAATCCCACTTTTGCTAGGAATTGTACTCTTTGCTTTGTTCTAATAATTGAAAATGGATCCATCCCTCCGTTGAGGTCCTGACCTGTGAAAAGAGGAGGTATCCGTAATCGTCGCAGGGCAGCATGTCGTCAACCAGCACCGTGGTCCATGTCCCGTCTTTGCAGAGCCGGACCTGGTAGGCGCCCTCCGGGCAGATGGTTCTGGTGATCATGACTCTCTCCACCAGCTCCGGCCGCTCCGCCAGCACTGCCAATGCGCTCAGGAACCTGGAAATACAAAGAGCCGTCAGTCACCTGGAGCATAAAATAAAATGAAACGGCAACATGGAGGACGGAGGGGAAGAGCAGATTGTGACTGACGGATGGATGTGGAAACAACAGGAAGAAGCAGCCATTAAACCATAATCATTGCATTAAAATATTTTCCACAGTTGTACCTTGAGCAGTTATGAATCTTTCTGCATAATTTCTCCTCATTCAGAAATCAATTGCATTCTGAGAGTCAGGCCTGCACGCCTTCTGGTTAACTCCCCTTTACTGCTAATTTGCCATGCAGCAGAGACTCAACTCCTCATTAGCATGCACGAGAAATGAGTTCATCAAAAACCCAGATCCATCTGAAAATGGTAATTCTTCTAAGTTTGGGGGGGTGAGAGGGGACAACATGACGATCCGACTTCCGAGGAATTTATTTCAAAGAGAAAAATGCAGAAGAAACAAAAAACAGAGGAAGCTTTGAGTCAATGAGCAAATCTAATTAGTCTTGTATGCATCTGATTCACTGCCAACTTCTATGCAAACAGTATTTTGATTTTCCAAACCGAGTTTACAAATGACAAAGCCAGAGTAGTGCGGTTTGGTCTACTGAAGCAGCCTGTGAATGAAGCAAAGCAGGAGCAAGTAAACTACGACCAGGACTTTAACGCTAAATTACGATTAACCAATAACACTAAAAATTTTAAAGCAATAAATAGTGTTTTTTTCTTCTTTTAAACAAAAGTCCAGAGTTGGAACCTTTGAATTCTTGTGTTTCTGGTACACCCATAAATCTGACGCACATGTGACATCCGCAACAACATCTATGGACAACAAAGCCATTTTTCTGCTTCAAAAACCCCCAAAAATGATATAATTGGATGCTGGAAACAACTGCTGTTGTGTTCAAGTTGTGCTAAAAGGAGTTAGCCTGTTAGCAAAGCTATTCAAGCCTAAATAGAATCTCAATGCTAAACATGTCCAAAATGCTAATGTTAGCATCCACATTCAGATTTCTAAAGACGTTCCATGAATAACCGGAGGTTCCCGGTAGAAGAGCAGTTTGCACCAATCTGATGGAAGAAGAGCCTGAATAACAGATTAAAAACAACTAGAACGTTTCTGAAGAAATTTAAACGGGGCCTGCCCGTCGGTGGGAACCCAGCATTCTTATGCTAAAAATTAGCATCAATGCTAAAGTAAGCTAAAATGTAATCGATAGCATGTGGAGAATCACAAGCATGCTGACTAACATAGACTTACATCATTAAGTCTGCAAACATCAGAGTAAAGCTAAAATGAATCAAAATGTTAGCGTTAGCCTAAACGCAGTCGGTAGCATGCGCGGTATCACCACCATATTGTCTTACACTGGCTAACTCCAGTCAGTATGATAAACATAGTTAGCCAGTATAAGACACTGGCTTACACTGGCCAATTTATTTATTTATTTATTAGCTACGATAAACATAGCTAATAAATAACAAAATGGCCAAAATGCTTATTTTAGGGAAAAGGCCTATTCCAAATATATCTATTGTTGATTTATTCAGTTTAGCAGCAAAAAGGGTTTCTGTGTGCCGCCTTCAACAACGGCTCTTAATTTGGCTAAAAAAGTGCAGAACCAACAGATAAATGCAGATTTTAGCTTTTTTTATGGAATAAACCCTGCATTAAATTTCCACAACAAAATGACACAAGCATCAGTGATATTTTTTGTTTGTAATACGTTGGAAACATCTCATTTAAAAAATATTTATCAATCCTCTTTTTTGTAAATGTTTTAAAACATAAAAAAATAAATAAAAGTGTTCACTTTTCCCTCTGGTAGATATTTATCAAGTTGTCTTTTCAGAGAGGGTTATGCAACATTTCCGGCTCTAAACGAGTTTGTCTTCAGCTGGACAGAGTAAAAACATCTGCAGCCTCTGGATGATGTTATTGTGAAGTTCAGCTGCGACCATTTCCAAGGACGAAGGTGAGGAGCGCTCGGTAGTTCGCTCGACCGTGAGAATCTGGGTTACATCCTGTCGCGACAGAACCGATTTGCCTCTGGAGAGGGCGATGTTTGATAACCTGTGTCCTGGTGATGAAGTGGAAACTTGGATTTGGACATTTAACTGTTCCTTTATGTGTGTGGAGGAAGATGGAAGATGGCAACACTCTCAGCAGGCTCTCTGAAGGGCACACAGATAAAGGATGTGCCCCAATTATCTCTCTGCACTGCAAACACACAAAATCTTCTGTGGAAATATCTTAGTACACTTGAAATAAGATGAAACTAACTCACAAAAATAAAATAACACTTTATTTGAATTAGTTTATTGTCATAAACATGACATAACCCCTGTGACGAACATGAAGGAGTCTTCATAAATGTTTATGACTGTTCTCATAAAGTGTTATTTGGTAAATAATGACACTTTTAATGCAACGTTGCATTGAAAGTTGAATGAAAAATCCACTCAGTGTCAACTTTGCATTAAAAGTGTCATTATATAACAAATAATCAAAATTTGACACTTTTAATGGATAGATTACTTACAATTTAAATGTCTTCTTATACATGGAAGTAGTACTTTTTCCTCAATATTCAAGAATTATTGACTTAAAAAAGCTCCTATATATTGACGAAAAGTTACTTGCAAGTTAACCAAAGTAATTGTGGTCTAATTTCTAGTGCAAATATCTTAGTACACTTGGAATAAGAAAGTTACTTACAAGTACCTGAAAGTCTTCAGCAAGATATAAGAATTTGTTTTAAGTAAACAAATCATTAATGATGATTATAAAGTTGGCAGCTAAGTTAACTTACAATGTGGGAAAATGTCTTATTATGAATGAAATAATCTGCCAGTGGAATTAGAACTCGGTTGCTAGGTAACGGCTGGGCTGGCGTTGCTAGGTAACGGCGCCAGTGGAACTAGTACTTTTTGACCAATATTAAGGAGTTACTTACTTAAAACAAGCCACTAAATCTTGCTAAAAAGTTGCATGTACATTAGTTTTGTCTTAATTCAAGTGTACTAAGATATTTGCACTAGAAACTAGACTGAAAAACTTGGTAAGATTTCGTGTTTTTGCAGTGCGTCCGGTGAATCTGTCCAGCCACAGTTCTACTCTTCATTTTGTTTTATTTTCTTCAGTTTTCCTATTTTACTTCCTTCACTTGGTTTGGGTGCCTCTTTTGTCTTCTCCTAAACCTTTTATTTCTAATTTCAGTTTTCAGTCGCAGATTTGTTGGGAATGTGTGCGTTTTGGATGCATTTCCGGATTCTCACCAGCAGTTCCCGAGGAGCCCTTGGAGGATGTCGGAGGGCCGCGGTGTGCGGAAGACGGACCATTTCACACCTCTGTCTTTAAAGTTGCTGCAGTTGATCTCGTGGGGACGCAGCCACTTTTTGATCCGCTGCTGGACGCTGTCGCCCTCGGGGAAGCCCACAGAGCGAGGTCCTGGGGGGAAACTGTCATCCACAAAGTTCACAGAGTTCTGGAAAAACACAAGGGAGAGGAAGAGACGGCAGACATTGGAGAGGATTCGCTCAAAGCTTGGCAAACATCTAAAAAAAAACGCATGAAAACGGTACTCTGCATCTGCATCTCATTTCTTTTCTTTCAGGATTTGTTTTAGAATCATATTAGTAGCTATAACATTGCAGGAACTATTTTAACAGTATCAGCTTTAGACTTATTAGAACAAGGGTTCCCAAAGTAGGGGGCGGCATGCCCCAGGGGGTCACGGGACGTCAAGTCGAGGGTCGAAAGATGATTTTCAGATTCATCATGATGTGACATCATGATGCAAAGAGAGACAAAATAATAAGAAAAACAACAAAAACTATTTAACAATCAGGGTGGGCATTTATCGTATCGTTTATTATCATTTATTGTGATAAATTCTGATTTATTGTTTTCATGATAAATTCTAACTAATGAAGTATAAAATAAAGTGTTGGGTTTGTTATTTTTTAAAATTTTTCTCTGTTTGTTCAATAAAAATATATCAATAATTATCAGTCATTTTTAAAATATGAGCATTTTAGTGATACAAATCCCACTTCTTTTTGGGAGCGGTGTCCTAAAAACATATTATAAAAAGAAATGTTTTTCCAAGAGTGATACATCTGTGATTGTGGGGCCATAATTTCTGTCCACGCAGTCACAACCAAACAGTTAGCTAAAAATAGTAATGAATAGCTATTATAATCTCTTTAATTCATCACAACAGCACCACAAAAGATGGCTATAAAACTTTAAGTCCATATCGTCCAGCCCTAACGTCGCGGGATAACTAATATGTCCTCCTGTAAATTAAACTCCACAGTAGCTGGGATGTAAAAACAGAAATAAATTTGAAGTCATGTAAGCATCATTTCATCCATTTTCATTTATTTATGCTGTTATCTCAATTTAAGCGTATTATGTTAGTAGAAAATCCATAAAAGTCTCTTCCAGGTGCCATCTTATCCGTGTTCGATGAATAAAGAAGAAACGTTCAAACTGCTTCCTCTTTAAAACATTTAATACTTCCACTTAATTCATGCTGCCTCTGTTTTGCATACATGGATGAGTTAGCATATAAAGACATCCAAAGCGGCAGCATCTGCTGATCTGAGCGCGCCGCAGAGAGCACACAGCAAAACGTTTTCTGTTTCCTACCGCTGTGGAAGGAGTGAGCCTGTTGTGTTGCAAGGCACAACTGGTGGCTCACAGTGAAGCTAATTGATTGCTAACCATCCCCCACAATCCTATTCTGCAGCCTTGATGCAGCATCGGTTCCCAGACGGAGTCACACCGATGCATCCGCTCCACCTCGACCGTCCCATGTGGCTTACAGGATGAGGAGGTCGCAGGCTTAAATCTGAACCCTGTGCAGGGCAAACACCACTGACTTGTCTGCAATTTTAAAGGGGCAGTATTATGGATTTTCCAGGAATTTTATACCATAATCAAGTAACTATTATACCTTCAGTTGTTAAAAAAGTGCTGTATTTATCAAATATTCAATTCAAAAACACTTTATTAATCCCAAAGGGAAATTAAATGCTGTTGTAGTTCATTATTTCAGATTCTTCACAGAGTTATTGTAGCCGCTGTTGGCAGGAAAGATCTCCTGTAGCAGTCTGTATTACAGCGAATCTGAAGAAGCCTCTGACTGAAGATACTCTGCCTTACCAAGACAACCTCATGAAGATATGTCTTCTTAAAATTTTAATTTTATATGACTTAAAATAAAATTACTTCCTACTTTAACGCCTTGAAATCAGGTCTCATTGAGAAGCAGCTCCTATAATGATGCTCAGTTCCACCAGGCGTTTGCTAATTGCTCCTGGCTAGTCTGAAGGAGCTGAGAGGGGGAGAAGCTACGCCTCGAAGGCGGGGCCAGATCCAGCGGTGCATTTTGCACAGCTGACTGGTTGCTATGTGAGATTAAAGGATTTCTCAAACATGTGTGAATAAATCAAAGGAACACTCCAAGTATGTTTTAGATGAGTGAATAACTTTAGAACATGGTACTGGCACTTTAATTCAAGCAATAAGGGACAAAAATGAAAATAACCCACAAAAAAGAGCAATTTATTTTCTTTTATTTGCACATGTTGTTAGGATGAGACATCTATTAGCATGGATGAGTCTTTGCCAAGTAAACATGGCCGCACCGTCTCTGACTCAATCCCTGAACCGGTGCCAGCATGTTAAGACCTCCGACTGGAATCAGCAAATTCAACGCTGCTCAGGGAAAACCTGCTGCGTTCCCGTCGTCTCCCAGACGACACAGAGCTGGCAGGCAGACCAGCGACTCTGTAGGGAGGAAAGCTCGCTACCAAATATCTGCATGTGACTCAATGACATCTTAAATCTGCAGACAAAGACGAGGCTATAGGACGGCATTTCACAGCGGAGTCCTTATTCAGACAGAACTGTCCGGGAACAGGCTGGCACGAGCAGAACGGGGGGAATGTGTCACTGCGGTTAGTCAGAACTTCAACAACCAGCTGGAGAAAAGGGCGGCAAAAAAAAAAAAAGAAGCAGAAAATCTGGAGCATATTTCTGTTGATCGCTAAGAAAAAGCCTTGAAATATTTCACAGTTTACAAGTGGTGTTTACTTCTGAGCCGACACCCTCTGGAGCGTTGGCATCGAGCGCTCTCAGAAGAAAAAAATAAAACAAAATCAATCACAGAGAGTCAAAATCCAACGACCAGCAGAGACTAATGGGCCTCAGGTGAAAAGAGAGTTTTTTTTATGACATGACTCTGCTGTTGGGCTTTGCTGCTCGGTGTAATATGGCCAAAGCCCGCAATAGCCTGTACTTACATTTCAACAACAACACCATCTGCTTGATCCAATAAAAGGCAAGAAAAACAATCACGCAGGCTGAAACATCCGCTGTAGATCTGTACATGCAGCAGCGCCAACGTGTAAAAAAAGGGAAACAGAAAGCTTTTATCTGGATTAAACTTCCTCTGCTGAGGTTTTCTTCTGGTTTTAGTTTTAGTACCTTCAATCAGACGGATTAGGAAGACGAATGTTTACACCAGCAATACTTCTCAGTGCAGTGAAAGTATATTGCTTTTTTATTTAGTTCTGGACTTTGAATAGGACATTTTTTACACACGGAGACGCTTCATTCTGCACATTTTGACTGTTGATGTCAAAAAAATCCTGTCAATGCCATCAATTTTTAAAACAAGAATGAATACATGTAACCTGTTCTGCAGAGACAAACCCCCTGGGAGAATAACTGCGTAAAAACAATAAAATTAAATTCTGAATGATTCACCTGCTGTGGCGTCAAGCACACCAGGTGAATCCCAACTTCCTCACATGGACAGGAATTAAACTCATTTATGTTTAATCAAATGTCAAATGATGATGATCCGCAGGGTAAATCTGCACTCTGCTGGTAACTGGGACTACAAGCACCACTTCAAGTTTTGAAATCAGGGAACATTTCTCCAATTGAAGTGATCAGACTACCATTTCTTGTCTTCTTGGTCTTCAAGACATTTCCTGTTCTCTAAAATCCTTTTGTTTTTGTTTTATCACATAAAATTTCAGTAAAAAATACATTGAGCTTTAGTACGAAAAAGTTTAAGAAGTGTAAATAATCTTGTCCTGTTTACGCCCTTGTATATAAAAAAAAAAACTGCAGGAAATTATGCTGATAGTGATTAAATTCACTTCCTCTCCCATCTTGTTCTGCTGCTAAATATAGGTTTCTGCCCCGTGTTCACCTTAGCGTTAGCACACATTGTGGGAAACACAGTTGAGTGGATGGAGTATAATATTTTGAGATATTAGCAGCAAAAAGGAGAATAAAACATATGTGGGGACAGATATGATGGGACATGAAGGGAAGGAGATGAGAAATCACTTTGAGGAGCCCAGAGAAGCTAAAGAGAGTTAAAATATGAGTCCAGGAGAGAAAAGACTCAAATTAGGCAGCGAGAGGAGAATATGCGATCTCCTTCCTCCCTACTGAGTCAAGCTGCCTCCCACGCTTACACAGCCGTGCCCTGTGACTTTCAAAGAAGCCATTAATAATGCATCCTAAAGCTCACTTCATGCTTCACTGTAAACACGGGACGATTGGTGCAATGCTGGCGTGTTAACGGGCCACACACCCTCAGTCAAACCCCGCCACCTGAATCGGAGCTCTGCGGCGTCGGCATCTCCTCACGTTTAATCAGATTTGTCTCATTAGCTCTAGAGTGAGCGGTCCTGACGATCGGGATTTAAACGGACCCCTCCGACAGGCTCCGCCACATATCCATGACAACCTAATAAAGGCTCATCAAAGGTTCTGCTCGGCAGACCTGAGCTTGAAGCCGGGTCGCACAAAGCGGGAACATAAAGGTTGCCACATCCGAGCCCAGAGTTGCTAGGGAAGGCGGCTTTGTGTCTCCAAACAGCTGTTGCAGGGAATCGGACCAATCAGGCGCTGGAAACTGAACAAAGGAGCTCAACATGGTTTGATCTATGGACATTACAGAAAACAACAAATTATCGATAATATTGTTGTTTTCAGACTATTTTCAATAATGTAATAATAGTGCTAAAAGATCAGGACCCTTAAAATTATAATGAACAGTTAACACTGGAGCCAAAAAAGATTTTAAATATCCAAAATAAAAATAAACAAGAACAAATAAAATGTAAACAAAATGTTTTAGTTGAGACCAACAGCAGAAGCGGACTGAGCGGGGCTGGTGTGAATACCGACCAGTTTAAAAGAGCTCTACCGATTCTAACTAGAAGAGTTCCACATTTACATGCATCATAATTACAACAATGAGATTTCTTTCTTTGGATTGATCTAATATAAATTGTTGTTTATGAATATGCCTAAGCCTGCAGGTATAATTTGGAGTCTGTGTGGATTTAGAGACATTTCATCCTCACTTCAAAAGCCTGAATTTAACGAGACATTAAAGCTAATTATGAGGGTATGTAAACTTCTGACTGGCTCTGTACATTTAGATAACAAAGACTTATTTTCCCTCCTTAATGATGGGTCTGCTGGTACGTGTTAGAGACAAATGCATCAGAATGAAGAACCTGTGGATATAAAAGCTCTCCGAATACGCAGCTCATTTAGCTTTCAGCTGCTGATACTATAAATGTGGCGAATAAATCAAAGGGAAGCAGAGAATCACAGAAGCTATTAGGATTGAGAGATTGAGAGGGATCAGAAGCAGAACCACAGCGACATGGAGAGCTAATTTAAGGGAAATGTGCTCAGAGACTCCAAGAGCACATGAAGTCTGCGCTGCTTATAAATATCATTTCTGCACCGCTTAGAGATATCTTTACTTTTTCACCATTAAAGAGGAGTAAAAAGCACAGAATCAATCAGGGCATTGTTTTGGTTTCACGAAGATTTATGAATATGTATTATGTACCATTTGTTTCATTCTGTTATTTAAAAAAAAAAAACTAAACTTGAGCTCCACTAAAAGAAAGAATGAAGAGATACAAGAGCGAAAGCAGTTCCACCGTAAAACAGACGTCTGATTATTCTACTTCAATTACATTCTGAAACAAGTGAAAACACTGAAACCACCACTAAAGCATTTGTGGGAAAACCTGCCATACACTGTAAAGAAAGAAAAAAAAACAGTCTCAAATTTAAGGCAAAACACAGATATCTGTACTTACCAGAATTTAACATATTTTATGGTAAAATCCGTATTTATACGAATAAATTTACAGTATGGATTTTACACTCGGTAAAATTTTTATGGTAATATCCGTTCAGTAAATGTCTGTAATTTACGGTAAAATTTGTTAAAATTCTGAGGTTGACAGAATTTTATCATAAATTAGGGACTTTTTTATAGTGCAACTGAAGATATTTCCTGAAAAAAAAAAAAACATATTTTTTTAAATCAACAATTTTGGCAAAGTTATTGCTTTTGATTGCTCAAAATTTTCAAACATAAAAGTTTCTTCTGTGTTTGCCAGAATTTTACCGTAAATTAGAGACGTGGGAAGTTAACGTAGTTGATATTTCAACAATTTTGGTAAAATTATTGCTTTTGATTGCTCAAAAGTTTCAAAAAACATAGAAGTTTCTATCTACACATTTTTAAGACATAAAGGGTCTCAAAGTTTAAGAAAATATTTTTAAAGAATGTTTTAGTCCTTAAGCTGAACAACCAGAATTTATTTTTTAAGAATTAAGTTTTACCTTTTCAATTGTCATGTTGGTAATGACAAGTTTTTAATATATATTTTATGTGACATGCAATTAATAAACAACAAAAAACCCAAATAAAACTGATTTAGATTTTTGTAGGAAAATGATCCGTTTAGATCAACCAGAAGAGAAGAAGGTTGTTGGCAGGAGCAGTTCTGGGTTAATGCAGTCGAGTTGAACTCGATGACTTTAGTTCCTCTGAGCCGTTACTTGATCCCGCGCAGCAGCTCTGACGCCAACACACACCAGCGTAAGTGAGAAGAGACGAGCTTTGAATCCGTCTTATCTGGCCCGTATCTGAGACCAAAGTGAAAATGCAACAGATCCAAGGCCCGGCTGTTCAGTTTCAGGGAGAGGTTCGGTAAACGGAGCGCTTACAGACACAGGATTTAAAATTCATCATGGCAGACCTGAGCTTTCAGGAAAAGGCCTCAAACGTTTTTCATGGGAAAACTGACAGATTTAAAGTAAAAAGATCTAATTTTACTGCAAATGAGAAAGTTGCTCTTTAACTTTTGGGGGAGACTGATGGATAACGCTTGGCTGAAAAAATACTAAACTGATGGATGGATAAAATTCCCTGAATCCTTGAATGAACGGATGGACAGGAAAGCTGGAACATTAAACTCTCTTTTCCGTATTCCTCCACATTCCCACAGTTTTCCAGAATTCTTCACACAGGAGATAAAGAACGACTTTCACCCCGACCCGGACGAGGTTCTGAGAAGACGAGCCAACATTTCAATCATGAGCGTCGCTTTAAACTCAGAATTCACCTCATCCGAGGCAGAGCCACCAAAACACTGAGAAAAATCAAATTAGCATCAGAATAACAGGAACGCTCAGTTTTAATTAACTCCACGAAAGGAGCTGCAGCATTTTAGCAGCAATGTTCAGGCTTTGTGGCACGGTTTACTGACACTGTCGACTATTTTAATGCCACTCGCTGGTTTTTATAGATCAGGCTTGAAGCAGTGCTAGTCGGCAACGTAAAGAGTGTCTGCAAACACCAGCTGTTGTTTACAGACAGTGTTTCTAAATTAGGCCGGCAGTATTAAGACATATGACTGCAGAGATGAGATCAATAGCGTGATTTATGTAAATCAGTTTTATCATTTCTAAGTGACATTTTATTAACGTGAAAATGACCCGTTCTGATTCTCTGGCTGAGGAACAACAAACCACGTTGGTCTAATATCGGTTAATGTCCTTTACTTTATTTTGCATGTTTTATTTAATCCATTTGGGTTTCTACTGCTTCTAAATCCAGCCTCAGTGCTTAAAAAACCCACCAAGCTGATTTTTGGCAATAAGTTCATGCTTTCTGGTGTCTGGAAAACAAGCCATATCAAAAACCTCCTTCTCTAGCAACCCCAACAAAGTCCTGCGCATTGCCTAGCAACTCCAGCATGTATGGTTAGCTGGTTATGCACTGGTACAATGGCTGCTGGAAAAGATGAGTGCTTTGTTGTTGACTTACCACCCAGAAACCACTTGCTACATTTTTACTGGTTGTGCAGGAGGCTCCACTTTTGCTTTTCAAAGATGTACGTTTGAATAATTGCGCATCTGTAAAACGTTGAGTTGGGGGGCGTGGCCAGCAGCTTATTTGGATTTAAAGTGACGGCTCTTTCTGAAAGGAGCTCAAAAGAGGCAGAACTGACAGACTAAAATCTCATTATCTATAAATTACTTTGTGCAAAAAGCGTAATGATCATGTTTTATACAGCCTGCAGACTGATCCTAACCTGTTTAAGGAAGCAGAATAGGTCACGTTTAAAGCTCCTCTTACCTCTCTGCAGAAGCTGACGATGTTCTCCCAGAGCTCCTTGGCTTCTCCCTCGTCGTTCCGTCGACGAGCCTCCACATGCATGCTCTCCCTCCTCTTCAGAGGCTTCACCACCTTGCGCAGGGTGAGGTACTGCTGCGCTGTGTGGCACGCTGCACAGTTCTTGGCCTTGACGTCGTTGAGAAGCGTGCATGCAGGGCAGCTCCACTGTCCTGCTTTCTCCTGGAGGCCAGACAAGGTGGAGGCCGACGAACCGGAGGAAGCGCCGGCAGCGGAAGGGAAGACCCGGGCCTGTTTACGTGCTTTATGACCCGACGGGGTGGAGGAGGGCGGACAAGAGCACGAAGCAGAGCCGCAATGTGGACAGCAGCGGGCCAGAGGGGTCTGCTGCTCCTGAAAGCCGTGCAGTTTGGAAGAACCACAAGCTGAGCACTTGGGTGTGCCGGTGGGATTCCGCAGGGTGCACTTGGAGCATGCCCAGGTGCTAAAGTCCGGACTGGATGGGCTAGCCGGGGTAAATCGTACCGTTTCACAGCCTACAAGGTCGATGAGGTCAGCGCCGGCCCTTGACGATCGGCAGCCCTCACACTTGGCTGAGCTAACAGCGTTGGGCAAAGAGCAGCTAGGGCACTTCCAGGTGGGGTTAGCCGGAGTCAGAGGGTGGTGCTGAGGGTCTTCTTCTTCCAAGATGCTGAGGCGCTTGCTGGGGTACAAAGGTTCTTGGGGTTGTGCGTGTTTGGGTTTGGCTGGCCGCTGCGGGCCGGGCTGTGGGGGCACGACGGCCGTGGACGGGGAGGTGGGGCTGGGACTGTTGGTCCCTTGGTTTTGCGGGCGGCCTGGTGGGGGAACTTCTCTCCGGCTGCGGGGCACGGGATTGTTCTGGAGGGAGGGGAATGTTGGATAAGGCGAAGAGAGACCCTGTGACGAAACTTGGGGAGATTCTTGAGGATCAGACGGAGTGGGGGTGTTGGACTCGTCTGTGAGGTCGATGACTAAGGGTGCTGACGGTGCTGGGTGAACGGGGAACCCGACGACAGGCGTACGTACTTCAGGTACTACCAGCGCCTCTGGGGGGATTTTAGGCAGAGACAGTTTTCTGGGTCCGCCGCAGGCTGAGCATGATAAAGCCACTGGGGTGTTGTGGAGCGTGCACCGGGCACAAGCCCAACCGGGGTTCTGCCCTTCATGGCCACTCACTTCTCCGTTGCTCTCCGAGCGGCGCAACACATCCTCTTTGACCGGATGCTGTCCATTGGGCTCAAGTAGCACCGTGGGGGTGACTGCGGGTGTCGGGGGCTCAGCTGGAGCAGATGGGAGGCCATTGGCAGTGACGGCTATGGTTGTGGTAGGCGGGGTGTTGGTGGCGGACGATGGGCCAAAGCCACAGACCGAGCAGGCTCCGGATCCCTGTGGGTTGTTGAGCGTACAGCGTGGGCAGGCCCAGCGTTGCTCCTCGGTGCTGCTTAGCCGCAGGATCTGGTTCAGATCGGGTTTCTGGCGCGGCGCCTCGCAGATGGAGCAGCGGGGCGCAGCGCCTGCGTTCAGGAAGGTGCAGCGTCCACATGACCACTCGCTGCTTCGCACTGCTGCAGCCATGGAACCAGGAGAGTGGGAATGGCTGCAAACCAAAAAGAAAAACACTTCGTTAGAACCTTTTTCATGAAAATTAAAAAGTATTTGACAAAACTAAATATGGCGAAGTACAGTTTAATCAGATGAAGCACCTTGTTAAAGAATTCACGTAATATTTTTATCGTATACCCAGTTTAGCGTATCCTTTAGGCAGTGTTTGTCAAACGTTTTCAGGCTGAGGAAAACTCATAAACCACCTAACTTGAAACGGCCCCCACAGTAGCACATCTTAATATATTAAAAATATTAGTCTCTTAAGTCAATGTCTTTGGTCTGAATTCAATGTCTGAATGTGAAGAGTGGCGATGTTTTGTAAATGTGACTGGCCACAATAAAACCAAGAACACATTGACTCAGGGCACTTTGGGTTATTTACAGCAGTGGTTTCCAAACATTTTCTGCGCCCCCCCTATGAATTACAAATGGCTGTCTGGTTGAAATGACGCGTGTGACCGGGGGGGGGCATCGACTTTTTTGGTATTGATATTAGCTAGTCATCTTTTAGCTAACATTACCTGCAGCTTTACTCACCTCAGTCGGTTAGTTTGGAGGGAAAAACTGTGAAAAGTTCTTTGCGTTTTGCTGGTTTGCTGCCGTGATTCTAACACAAACCTACGTAGCTCCGCCCAGCAGCAGCAGGTCTCCTTCACAGGTGGAAACCCAGCGCGAGCGTCGTAGCGCTCATGTTGCGTTTAAAGGCGGCTCGGAAGAACAGGTTACAACGTGTTAACAACGGATTAAACAGTTTTAACTGCTGATAAAAGTGACACAGATATGGGAAGTGTGGAAGCCTCTACTGTATCAAACTGACAGGAATAACAGAGAGTTGGCCATTCTAAGGTAAAAACCCAGCGCATACAGTGTTCATGTTTTTTTTGGGTTTTTTTATCCAGACGGCTTCCCGCGCCCCCCCTGCAATGACACAGCGCCCCCCCTAGGGGGCGCGCCCCACAGTTTGGGAACCTTTGATGTACAGTATGGATTCTAAGCTTTCCAATCATAGAAAACATTTTATTTCAGCCAGTAGATAGCCCAACATAAATCATTTTATTTTAGGTGTTAAGATGCAGTTAGTCAGCGTGGGGCGCAGCATGTGAACATGCTATGTATCGTAGTGTTCAAAAGCAAAAGCTCTGCAAATCATCCTCAGAAACTTTCCACCGGTAGGCTTTCCTTTTAGTGACCCGGTTATAAGCCATTTTCCACTGATGTTTTTAAACACAATCCTTTGGTAAGCTAACTGTAGCAGTTTGAGCTAACGTCACGACCAGTAAACAGTTGTTTACATGCAGTACCTCGCGGACCACTAGGGGGCACCTGCGTCTCACCAGTGGTCCAGGAACCACAGTGTGAGAAAGAATTATCTTAGGGATATGTGACAAATCAAAACAGGTGAATTACTGTACCAACAATACAGACAGCTTTGTGGGATTTTAAACACAAATTATAAATGATACAATTATCATTTATCTAAGTTATCTAACTGATATTATCTGATAGTCTAATGAAAGGAGATGAAGAGTAAAGAGAGAAAATGTTTGTAGGAATATATCTGAAAACCAGGGAATAAATTCATCCTTCCAGGAACTCAGGTTGATCATCTTCAGGAAAAGGGAAACTGCAGGAGGAGTGGAGATGAAATTAGAAACGCAAAACAGGATAGGAGAGGCAAAGATTAGCCAGTGCAGAGGGGGGGAAAAAAAAATCAAATCTCCCTCCTGGGGGCGCAGAGGGCAGTAAATCCATATACAATGGCCACCTGATTAGAGGCAGAGAGACAGCACACGGAGAGGAGGACCAGAGGGGAGGAGAGCAGAGAAACGCTGCCTGCCTCTGAATGTTAGAGCAGAAATGCCCGAGTCTCACTGACTGGCACTTATTAGAATAGGAAAAACACACAGGATCTCTTCCACTTAATATTAACACTCTCTCTCTGCTCAGCGAAAGCTACCAGAAAGGATCTGCTTCAGGTCATGTCACTTTCAGGCCCTCAGTGGTTTTCAACTGATGAGAAAACCACCATAAACATCTAAACATCCAACTGGGGAGGAATACGTTGTTAAAGCCAGAAACTGTTAATTCGGATAACAATGACGCTGGACCGACTTGTATGTACACTGCAAAAAACACAAAATATCACCTGATTTTCCATGTTATACACAGAATTAGGTAACAACTAGTCACATTTACTCGAGTAACCAAAAATTCACCAGACACACACAGCAGTTATTGTTAAAGTTTCTTAAGCTTTTTTATTGAGAGAAACTGAATTGGAAACATTTTATTTTAGCTGATTTTATTTTTTGTTAGTCTATGAATTATTGTCATTTTGGTTCTTAAAATACCAGAATTTCCACATAACTTTATATTTTGGTCCCTCTGATGATGTAATTTTTAATTAAATGATTGATATTTTGATCAGTACTCAATACCTTTTACTTTTACTTGAGTAATTTTATTGTGAAGTATCTCTACTCTTACTACAGTATAATTTTTGGGTACTCGACCCGCATCTGGTTATTATTGAAGTATCTTTTCATCAATATTAGAGTTATTGACTAAAACAAGCTCCTGTATTTTGCTGAAAGGTTCCTTATGAGTTAGTTTTGTCTTATTTCAAGTGCACTAAGATATTTTCACCAGAAATTGGACCACAGGTACTCGGTAAGACTTTGTGTTTTTGCAGTGTGCGGTTCACTCTGCAGTCCAGTCAATCTGGCTCATCGACGGCGGGGGGAGCCGGGCCTTTTGGAGGCCGAGCCGCACAGCTGGATACTTTCAACTCAGCAGGAGTGCAGTTCAAAAAAACATCCCAGCCTCCAGGGAACGGACGGGTCTGCAGTCGGAAAAAAGCTCATAAATGCCACTGTCACTCAGGCCGCTCATGTGTGAACAGCAGCTCAGAGACGGTAATATGGGAATTTACCCAAAGTAGAGCATGAGGTGCTAAAAGTGAGGATGCTGCTCTGCTTTTCACGTCGGTCCCAGGGGAGCAATGTTGCATCCCAAACTGACAGGAGCTCGAGGACGGGCTCAAATGTAGCAGCTCTTTGTTATGTTTTAGGAAGAAAATCAATCCAAGATCAAGACATCAGGGGAAACCAACATACTATTCAAGAAACACATTCATTTATTTCCACAATATTCATCTTTGCTCCACTCCATCCTTTATTACTGAAACAAAATAAAAATCAACATTTTGCCTCTCGTATCCAAAAAGGCTTTTGTATCATTATGTAAAGTTTATACACATATTAAAAATAACCCAATAATCCAAGAGTAATTTTAAAATTAAGTTAGTAAATTGTCTAATAATCATTTGTTTTACATAAATACTGTAGCAGTAAGTGGGATTGAACCTTTACAAAGGTCCACAATAGACTGGATTAGAATAGTAATGATTTGAAATACTTTACCAAAGAAATTTATTACTATTAGTGGTGTAATCAGCCAATTTCCATTAAAAAGACATCGGTAACCTAATATCGCTTCTATTTAGTTGATTTCACTTTAAAAACAGGATGCTGCGTGGTCGGCTGCACAAACAGACAAGGATAGAAACCAAGCTCAACATTTCATTTGATAACTTTTAGTCAGGACAGCAGCTGTTAATCACAATGACTATCAAATCGCGGATTTGTAGAAAACAATTTTTACAAGGCAAGAAGATTAACGTTCATATACTTTATAAGTAACTATGAATAGAAATGGTAAGTGGGGTGAATAAGACTGTCATGACACTGTCATCAACATGTCATAACACCTGTCATGAACATGGATAAGCCTTCATGAATATTTATGACTGTTGTCATAAACCGTCATTCAGTAAATTACGACACTTAATACAAAGTTGACATTATTCAAAATGTCTTTGTTATGACAACTTGACATTAACCAAGAAATCATTACTGTTTAAACTTTACCTTTAATAACATAAAGTTACCCAATTTTTAAAGTGCGATCAGTAAAACTTTTATAACAAATTTATATCAGTAATGATTTCCTGGTTAATGTCAAGTTGTCATAACAAAGACATTTTGAATAATGTCAACTTTTTATTAAGTGTCATAATTTACCGATGAAGGCTTATTCATGTTCATGACAGGTGTTATGACATGTTTATGAAAGTGTCATGACAATCTTATTCACCCCCCTTCAAATAAAGTTACCATAGAAATATATCAACTATCGCGTTACGGAGAAGGTGCGTCTAACCATTGGTAACCATGGAGACAGTGCCGCACCGTCATGTAGCCTAGCATGTATGGAAAAAACTGGTTAGCATCTCCTCTTTTGTACGTTTCTAATGCTGCTCCGGTGTAAAGGCAAACGCTTTTTATGACATAGTGACATCATGTGGTGTGAATTCAGGTAAAGTCAGTAATCTGATCAACACGTCAGGAAGGAGGAGGTACGGGTCGGTTTCTAAGCTAGCCGTTTCCAACTTTTGTAAATCCCGTTGTCTATGAGCCCTAATCAGGTGAGTTACGTTCACAGACAAATTATCTGAACTCGAACAAGTAGAAGTCATGAATAAACTGGCAAAAACAACTTTAGAAAACAATTTCAGTTGCCCTGTTCAATTCTCCCGTTCCTCACTTCCGGGGTCCATCATGGCGCCTCGAATGATTTAGGGGCGTATTTGCAACACAACAAAAACATGTTCTTGAAATCGACTACAATAAATAGTTATGAGGTGTTTATTTTACATTGTTGCTTTAGTCAAAGTATCAAAAATCAAAATAATAAATAAAGTCAACATGTTTTGTGACTCTTTCCTCCAGATCCACTGTATGAATCCTCAGCGGTTCACCAACACATGGTTGACTAAAGCGGCATCTCCATGCTAACTATGAAGACACACCGTGTTTGGCTGTCTGACGGGCCAAACAGCCATGAGGACAGCAGCAGCACAAAGCGTCGCCACCTCATGTCTGATGATGACAGCTTTTACCCTGTGGCCGTTTCCACAACTGTCGGGCCGCT